GTAGTTGAGACGCTGTTTTCTTGTGCTCCAAGAGGTGTCTGCTTCTGATATCCGTGCAAATTCCGATACAGGAAGCAGGGCAGCAGGAGCCAGAGGTACAGCGCCTGCGAGAGGGACATGGAGAGGGAGGCGCGGCATGGTTGCGGACCGAGTTGGAGGCCAAGAACTACACCGACTTGCGACGGCTGTGCGCTGAGTTGGGACTGCCGCAGAAGCGCGACGGCAGCAGCCTTCGGAAGGAGCAGCTGCTGGAAGCCATAATGGATTGCTTCTCATCGCAGGAGGGATGGAGTCACGGTATGGGCGTAGAGCGGTGTTGAACTTTGCACACAAGCTGTTTGTGTTGAAGTAGGTGTTGGCTAGACTCGATAGTGGAAAGCTGCGTGTCCCTGACAGGAACCTGTACATCCGAACGTTGAGGACGGTTTCGTGAAAGACATCTAGATATAAGACTTTCAATCTTTGTTAAGATACCGAATTTGTGTTAGGGGATGGGTGCAGTGTACAGTTCAACTTAGTTGAGACGCTGTTTTCTTGTGCTCCAATAGGTGTCTGCTTCTGATATCCCTGCAAATTCCCATACAGGAAGCAGGGCAGCAGGAGCCACAGGTGCAGCGCCTGCGAGATGGACACCGGGAGGGAGGGGCGGCGTGGTTGCGGACCGAGTTGGAGGCCAAGAACTACACCGACTTGCGACGGCTGTGCGCTATGTTGGGGCTACCGCAGAGGCGCGACGGCAGAACCCTTCGGAAGGAGCAGCTGCTGGAATCCATAGTGGACTGCTTCTCATCGCAGGAGGGATGGAGTCAGGGGATGGGCGTAGAGCGGTGTTTAACTTTGCGCACGAGCTTTTGGTGTTCTGCTTTTGGTATCCAAGCAAAATCCCTGACAGGAACCGGCGCATCCGAACATGGAGGACGGTTTCGTGATTTGTAGCTGTATTCGAGTAAGGAAAAGATATCTAGATACAAGACTTCCAAGCTTTCTGAGACACTCAACCTTGGTTACAATGGTTTTGTGACGTGTAGATGTATTCGACCAAGCAAAAGACATCTTGATGTAAGACTTTCAGTTCGGGGATGGGTGTTTGCTTTTGGTATCCAAGCAAAATCCCTGACAGGAACCGGGACATCCGAACGTTGAGGACGGTTTGGTGAAAGACATCTAGATATAAGACTTTCAATCTTTGTTCAGATACCCAACAATCTTTGTTAAGATACCCAATTTGTGTTAGGGGATGGGTGCAGTGTACAGTTCAACTTAGTTGAGACGCTGTTTGTTGTGCTCCAATAGGTGTCTGCTTCTGATATCCCTGCAAACTCCCATGCAGGAAGCAGGGCAGCAGGAGCCAGAGGTGCAGCGCCTGCGAGACGGACACCGGGAGGGAGGCGCGGCGTGGTTGCGGATCGAGTTGGAGGCCAAGAACAACACCGACTTGCGACGGCTGTGCGCTATGTTGGGGCTGCCGCAGAGGCGCGACGGCGGAACCCTTCGGAAGGAGCAGCTGCTGGAATCCATAGTGGACGGCTTCTCATCGCAGGAGGGCTGGAGTAAGGGGATGGGCGTAGAGCGGTGTTGAACTTTGCACACAAGCTGTTTGTGTTGAAGTAGGTGTTGGCTAGACTCGATAGTGGAAAGCTGCGCTTTGCAGGAAGGGTTGTATTCGGGGATGGGTGTCTGCTTTTGGTCTCCATGCAAAGTCCCTGACAGGAACCGGGACATCCGAACGCTCAGGACGGTTTTGTGATTTGCAGCTGTATAGTTCAACTTAGTTGAGATTCTGTTTTCTTGCGGTCCAATAGGTGTCTGCTTCTGATATCCCTG